CATTACACTATTAGTATCTTCTTTCAAATATTCTTCGAAATTCATTTCATTCACACTGTTGATATAACAACAGAATATTGGAAAGTCTTAATGGGTTCCATAAAATTCAATTCAATTCGTTTTGATTTGATCCAATCGAATCACATCGCATTGAATTATCAAAAATTTTATTGACTTTTCATTGTCCAATGAACGCAGACGTTTTGCATGAAAGATTAGATACACAAGACATATCAAATCTAAAATATCTCATTTGTATAAACAAAACTTTGTATGATAATGAATAGCAATGAATAATACAACGACAGATACAATTACAAATGCAACAGCAACTACAACCACAACCACTACACAAAAACCATGTAAGCATTGTATTAACGTTTTTCGACCTTGATAAATACTACTTTTTAACCAAATCAAAGTAGCTTTCTATGTAATATTACTCTACAGCCAACTAAAGATTAAGTTGATAAGATAGATGAACTGATATCATGAATAATTCAAAAATTTACCATAAGTGAAAACCAAATAATAGTAATCTCCACGTTAGTTAGTTGTCGTCATTATCGAAGTTTGGTTCGTTTTCTTGACAGCTATAAAATCAAATCCATCTTCACTTGAATACAAATAAGCTCAAAGTCAAATATTTCAATGCTATCGAACATCTTTTTTTGAAGCATTTAACTCATAGTATTGACTAAAAAAGATCTGAAAGAGCTTCTTCTTTAGTTTTTGGTAAAGAGTAAACATGTCATTATCGAACAACATACGATTAATCGAAAATTAATAAATTGATCATTTAGAAAAACCGTTAAAATAGCTAATGGGAAAATTCTGATTGTTATATGGTTTCTAAAAAGTCTTTAATAGTGATTCATTTAACATCGATACAATATTCAAATAAATTAAACTCATCAAGAAATATGTGTAATTGAAGATTCGATATGGATAGCGTAGAATACAGGACTTCACACAATCAATCGTCTTCTTCCTTCGTTAAGTATGAAGTTAATCGAGGACATCGATCCTAAGTCTGTTCTCACACTTAAGAATAAGATGTTTTCTCACCTATCAGTAATTCTTTTTTTTTGTTCAATTGTGAATGTATTTAAGATACTTCTCTTCTTCCATACACCTAAGACATGCTGTTCGTAAGACATATCTCATGTTTCTAAGACTTTAACTTTCTTTGATTTTCGAAAACTTTTCAACTTCTTGATTTCATTTGAATATTATCATGATTTGTACTTTTTAAATTCCTTCTACACCTCTTTTTCTTTCCCTTTTCTCTATTTCTTGGAAATTCTTGTGTTTTCTAGATTTTCAGAAATTGTTAGATTCTCTTCTTTTTTTGTGGAATTTTTTGCAGTTTCCACACAACTTCATTGAATTCTTTCTATTGCCGAGATTCTGCAATCTTTTTTATAAAAATAAGAAACAAATTTTCGAATTAAGCTTATCTCTTTTTATGATGGAACCACCACTGGAGATGTGCCATCAAATAGCTAAGGTAAGAGAAATGACGTCATATTATGAGAAACTTGCAGAACTTAACAATGATATATTGGTAGATTGATCTCTCTGACTTTACTTTACACAACACTTAAACATCAAATTTCCATTTATGAGGGAAAAGTGTCTCAATTATACAGGATCTGGATCATTTATTCTCAAAACTATTAGATTCTATTCTATTATCTATTTATTTAGCTCTTGTTGTATTTTTCTCACAATTAAAAGGTGATCATCATCAACTTTTGATGGAAAATGGTTGGGTGTGAGTGTCTTCTGTTAATTCCTACCACCATCCTTTCTCTACAGATTTGAAACTTTTACATACATAGAAACGTAGAACATGATGATGAAATCTGTCGAAAATAACGGTGATATCTTTAAATAAGACGTGCCATTCAAAACAAGACAGTAACTTGTGTTAAAGGGAGTCTATGGGCTTTTTTATTTCAAACTGAATTCTAAAATCAAAAAAACCACACCAATTTCTTCCGAATCAAACTTTTCTCGCTTGATACTACGTAGTCTCACTAAAAACCCTTAGTCCCCCCTAGT